GGGGGGGGGGGGGGGGGGGCTGCCTCTGGGTTGGGAGGATTTACAGTCATTGAGGCACCAATTGATTCGGAGGTACAGCAGGATATTCTACAGCAGAAAGTAAGGGCGTGTATGTGATCTAAACTTCAGACTATGGACATGCACCACAGGTGTTAATAATAAAGGAACATCTTTCAGAACGATTGCATGTTGATTTCAGCCCTACTGAAATGCTGTTTGGTCAATCAGAAGCAGGACAGCCCTAGAAGAAAGAGGAAGTGAAACAAACTACTCTCTATGGAAGAATGACCCAAACAGCAGCTACAGAGACCGTTTGGCTGATGTTATTGAAAATCACATATATAAGGATTCATATACATTTTTCCTTGATCTGAATTCTTTAAACCATTTATCCAAGAAAGTTATGGTAATGGAAATAGTGTGTGCTGTTAGTTAGATAAGACTGTATTTACATACTATAAGACTTAAACATGGAAAACTAACAACTGCATTAGTCGGTGCTTGCAACGACAACTTACGGTATCAATCTGTCAAACAAAAAGCAGAAATCACCTAATACAGGATTTGCTGGTCTGCTGACACCCAGCCCTGATGTAGGTGACTGGCAGTTTTCCTAGAGACGTAATTATGTTGGGCTGTCATAAATATTTCATGGGACATGAATGAATTGGCTGTTTTCATTTTTCTCCCTTTTCCAAAACCCTCAGCGGTAATGATATAGTCATTATCTGCATTTACTTTTTCGATGGCTTTGACCGCTGTAATTCTTAAAAAACATTCATCTTAAAGCCAAGTATACGTAACATGTTAATTCGAGGAAAACAGTTCCTGCATCACATCTATTTCTCATTAGCATGGCTATATTTATGTAAGCTAATTAAGCCAGATATGGAAACCAGCAAGATGCAAAGACATTAACAGAGGCTAAACAGGCGCGAGCTTCGGTTAGTTAATCGGCCAGTAAAATAAACTTAGTTATGCTTTCTTTCCCGATAACTGGGTGTTTGTTTACCATTTTTCCGTATAACACATGAGACGGGGCTGGCAGCACATGTATGTACACACTGACCTCCCCAGATCCCGATCTTGAGCTGAGACTTGTCCAGATTCTCCACATAGTCCCCAATGAACCTGTTCAGCAGGTCACTAACAAGAGCCTCGAACACCATCGCTACCTCGAAGACCCGGACACGCACACCTCTTCCTGCACGGTCCCCAGCTGCCGAATCCCGTGATCGTCGCTCCACCCGTCGCTTTGAAGCCCAGGAAGATTGAGCCGGAACTCGGCGATCGCCTAGTCATGCCTGACGCTCACCGACTCGGCGATCGACTCGTCATGCCTACCTGTCACCACGCAGCCTAGGCCGCCCGGAATAATCAGTTTATAGTGTGTATGACCATAGATTATTGTTAAAAAAAAGTCCTTGTCATACTTTCTCGTTTTCCGCAATAATATAACGACATTACATGTTTATATCACCATTCTAAATAGGTTACCCAAATCTGTATTTCATTTTTGTTCAGTATTTTGTGTTTGTCAGCCCTTATTTCGTACAATGTAGGACGCCAGAAATGCAGAAAATCCACCATTAAACGTTATTTTAAGATGAGACGTGTACGGATCTTTTAACGAGTTATGGAATAAGTTCTTAATTCAGATTCCATGGTAGCAGTGTGATAGTGGTCTTTGTTGTTCAGTGATTTAAAACATTTAAATTTTGCGTCCGTTTCTGTTGTTAATAAAATAATATGCAGAACAAGATAAACGGATAAACGTAGACCTTTTATGAAAAATAGTTAAGTAAGGATTTCAGATATTACTCCCACGACACAGCAAACACTAATTTAATGCCCTGCCAGAGGCTCGTATTTGTTCAAATGGTGGTGTATACATTGCAAGCACCAAACGTATGTGTCTGCCGGGATTATGGAAACAGTTTGACAGTAGTTAATTTAACTAATAGACGTGGAAAAGGCCTCCATGTTTAATGAAAGATAATATTCAAAATACAGTTGAGTCTGACTCAAGATGAATTTCAGTTATTTAATATACATCTTAATGGGTTACCAAAGTATAACATCTGTACAAATTAGACATAATGTGTAACCTCCAAGACCCTCACTAGGAGGATTAGCCTAAAGATGGATAAATTGCTATAACATTAGAATCATGTTTTATTTGCCAAGTATGGATGCATACAAAGAATTTGGCAAGGTGTAAATACAAAACTAAACAAAAAACTAGAGCTAAATTAAGGTAAGATCAAGATAAGATAAGACCACTACATCACGCATGAAGGTCAAAGGACAGCCACTCCCAATGTCATTTGACTGACAGCTTTAAAGAACATGGACCTGCATCTGATTTCATCTTCTGGGACAAAAAGAAAAAACAGCCATCATTAAACCCGGATCGTGGCTCCAATGGATGATTGCACTTTGCCAGGTAGCAACGAGATGTTGATACTTTTGGGGCCCAACCACAGGGTTGGGGAGTCGGGGCGGTACGTCCACCAGCAGGGGGGAACAGCCCCTCAGGACCAATGAGGCACACCCCTGGAACGCCGTTTCTCACGCAGCAGCACCTTAATCCAGCGAGATTTAGAGGCGGACACAAAAAGCAGTGGGAAACCAAAGGGGGAGGAGTCTGAGGAAGAGGCGGAGTCCCCATTTCGAAGGGCTGGCCTTCCCTGGGGGCAGGTCCTGGGGAGGAGCTTCCATGTGAACGTCGAGAGGGTGGAGGAAGACGATGGTGTGTCTCTGGGGAAGGTGCCGGGGTTCTCTCTGGGGAGCACGAGCGGAATAGCGCAAGAGCTGGGATCATCGTGAAACAGAGACTCCTTCCTCCTGGTGTGAGGCACCTCCAGCAGAGTGCAGAAGCCGTAGCAGGTCTGCGCTTTGGCCAGGTGTGGCATCGAAAGTGCGGCCTGGCTTTGGGGGTCCGCATTGGTGCTCATCCCATAGCTGGATCTCCTGTCCAGAGCCACCTCGCCCGCATGGGGGTTAGTAAGCTCTCGTGTCAGGGTCTCCCTCCCGTGCCTGGGGTGCCTCTCAAGGGAGGGTGCAGGTCTCCTTGGGCTGGTGCCTCTCTGATCTCCCTGCCAGGGGACCTTTGGCGGAATGCAGAAGTCTGGGATGGTGTCTGGAGTGATGATGTTCCGACAAAGGGAGCCTTTCCTCTTTTTCCCTAAAGAAATTTTATATCTAAACATAATATGACTGATTTTTATATTGTATCCCACTGCAGGGAGAGGAAAGCCAGCTCCTTCCACTAACAGACAAACGACATTGAAAACGTGCACGGATCTCTGGGTCTGTAGGGAAAAGAGATTAAACGCCATAAGAAGGACAATTCCTTATACACGCTCACAAAAAAAACAGTACATACATAAAAAAGGCTGAACGTATACGTTTTAATTAAAAAAACGGTGATATCAAATTTTGAAATAATTCACCTGTCCATCCTTCAAAACATAACAGCATACGTTATGCTTACCTTGGTATTCCGGCAAACGCAGCACGAATGAAACGCTTCGAGCGGCTTTCAGAGAACGGTGCCCTTTGCCGGGTACAGCGCCTGCGGCTTTCTCGCGACGCCGGCATAAATAGGGCTCAGTGCATGGGCGTGAGCGTGGCGTTGGCTCGAATCACTCCCGGACCCTCCCCTAACTTAAAAACTCTGCTCACATGGAGACGGTCAAGTGGCAAAAACGTGGTCGGTTATCGCGGCACGGAGCACGCTGAAAAGGGTGGCCAGGTAAGCAAATATGCAGGAGTCGCTCCAAATGAGAAGTGCCTTATTGACTTTTCCATTCCCGCTGTTTTTCACGATCTGCTCTAACAGAGGCAAAGCCTGCGGTTCCTATGCCTCCCGCGGGCACGAATCACATTACAGATAATGGATACCGCAGAAGGTGGTTCTACGCGTGAAATTCACAGGAATTCGGGCTGTGCAGCACCTGATACAGTAGAATTCACCCTTTGATGTTGAGTAACAATGCAGAAGCCAAACTGGCATGTGAACTCATTACCCAGATATGAACCCTTCACATACATAATGATATGGGGGGGGTGCCTCAGAGCTCTGGGGCTGGTGGTGGTGGGGATCTCAGCTCTGATCTGTGTGTCTGTGTGTGTTTGGTTGGAGGGGGGGGTCTTCTCTAGTTTTCTCCTTTGATTAGGCTAATTGCTATGCCCTGAATTTCCCATAGTGGGGGTGTGCAGGACACAATATCGTCAGACTGATTGCTATCTATTTAACACTAGCTAATTAACAATATTAATTTCAGTTCAATTAAAATTTCTCACATATCCCGTACCAGCCTCATTGTATTTAATGTAAATGATGCTGCTTACTTCCGCCCTCTAGTGGTAAACTCAAATGTGATCAATAGAAAGTGGATTAAAGGCACAGCCAAACTTTCAAAGTGCTTCGGTATTGTACAGATGACTGACTTCTACTGTGTATTACATTTTTGTCTGTAAATTTGGGGTGCACCGTCAAATCTAAAGCCTTTATTTTCTCCTTGAAAAGAGCGAAAAATAGATTTCTCGTCGTGAGAGCAAATTGCCACTAATGTGAAGAACGCTTCCACTTTCCATCAGATTGGCTAACGACAGAAGATGAGCGTCGGGAACACAAGCCGTCACGACGACCTCCCGTCGTTCCTCATTATAGAGAACAGGGAGGAGCGGGTAGATTTGGCGCCCGGGTCACCTGATACAGCTGCTCTTGAAAATCCCCCTGGATGTTTTTTTAGCTACATCACACCAGACGAACACCCGGCCCCGCCGGGGGGTTTCCATTTCTCAGCTGGTCTGGGATGGCGTAGAATCTCCGAGGAAGAGCGGGAATGGTGCCAGGGAATAAGAAGCATTCTCCCAGTATGAAGTTCAACTGGATAAGTGGAATTAAAAATGGATGGGTATACGGTTGGAAAAAGAAATGGTTCTGGTAATACATTTTAATGTCAGCACATCTGACCATACTCGTGTAATTCTCCTAAAATTCCTTAGGAACATTCTTTTCAGAACATTCCAGAAGTCAGCTCTGAAGCTGAGTAAACAAGCCGGCATCGTGATTTGCGCTTATAAATGATGGGAGCTGAAATAACAAAGCACACTTTAATTAATTTTGATATGCAATGTATGTTTCTTTTGTTTATTGAAGGACCTTTAACAGAAACAATCAATGTAATAATAAAATAATGCAAAATAGCCTAAACCAGTTTGGAAATTAAATTTCTAGCTTTATAATAATGTCATATTAGTTCGAGAGCACAGGAAGGCTTCATTGAACAAAAGACACCTACCTAAGAGACTGAAATGACACAAACCTGTAATGGAAAACAAGTTATGAAGGACGCGATAAAACCAAGGAAGAAAAGTAAATAAAACTTCTATTAAACATAAACCAAACAGACTAACGTGTCTCTGGTGATTAAAATAAATTACAGCAGAATATGAAGTGATTTAATTTTTATTGTGCTGTGCATAATAAACCAAATATGAAAAACGTCTACTATTACAACGTAGTTAATCGTAGTTAATGCTCTGACAGTAAACCAACAGCGCCAACAAGAATGTACGAGTGCTTGCATTTCCTCTAATGTCCACGAGAGAGCAGCATATTCAAAAAAACGAGAGCTACGTTTTTAAAATGTATTTCTGTCTTCCACATACTATTTTATTGAATATTTCAAATAAGGAAAATGCCAAAACGTGGCACCCTATTGATGCTTCTGGAATACAGTTTGAAAGTGCTGAACAGCATCTATATATACGGAAATTATGCTGTAGATTTTCTTTGAGGCCGTTTTCTTATCTAACACGCTATTGGCCGATATCAAGATTACAAGGATGTTTGGAAATAGAAGAATTTCTGTGATTGAGGATCGATGAGACAGATATCAGATTGGGGTCGAGGTCATGGCTGCACAGATTCAGGGGAGAGTGCGATGGGCCGAAGCCCCTCTCTCGCTGGCATGAAGCGGGAGCGTTTAATAAGCAGCACTTTGTAGCAGTAAGATAAACAGCCTACTGTAATTTCAAACCTTTTGCGAAGAAAGAGGCCCTTAGAAAAACAATACCGGGTCACACGCTATCCCCGGTCTATCTGATCGGTATCATTTATCTAACACATAATCAGCGCTGATGGGAAATCAGAACTGAAATATTCTCAACCAAAAAGAGCCACATCCTTCATATGCATTTATGCACCTCGTAGCAGATATTTGATCCCCAGTTGATTTGCTTGTAACACCACGCCGGACTACACGGAGAAGAGCAAGAGTGTCCCTGGCTTATGACGCGCTTCCTCTTTTCCCAGTGCAGGAATCCGTCTCTTTTTCCCTCTCTTCTCGCTAACTTTGAGCTTCTCTCAAAGAGGAGGGGTTGGACTCCGGAGAGGCAGGGCTGCAGCCCGCTCCACATCTAACTCTGCCTGTCTGCCTGCATGGGATGAAGCACTAGCGGATTCACAGGTACGGACACCCGCCGCCTTCCTTCTTCTCTCTCCTTCTCCCGCCGCAGACCGTCTTTCGGCTTTTCCCCTCATTAGACTGCAATATCAGCTGTGTCTGGTTATATGTGCCTTTTGCTACATGGACCCTGATATCTTGATAATGGCTGTTGGATGAATGGGAGCAGCTAGGAATACCGTGTTTTAGCAGAGCAGGAGAAGCAGCCGATTAGGCTCACTATTTCACATCTAAGTGGTAATGAAAATGAGTTACTTAGGCGATATTTCTCGTTTAAGGACATTGAATCATTTCCCTGCTAAATATTTTATTATAATAATATAATAACGACGGTGATTACTTTGGTTTTAAATGCAAGGACAGCAAACGAGCCTACCAGAAATGTATCCGTATAAAAGCACTCTTAAAAATAGGGGAACTCATTAGGCTAATCTTTACTAAATCAGACGAAGTCTTAATCTGAGTGTCCGTTTTGCATGAGAGCAGGCGTTTAGCGACCAGCTATGGATGGGAAGATGAGACAGGCGATGTTTACGGATTACTTGTTAGTGCAAACCGAAATATTACCCGTGCGGGCTGGACTTCGCCAGCAGCGGCTCCCATTAATCACAAATATGGAATTTCTGTATTTATTCGTCTCTTGAAGTGTGTGATGTGTAGCCCTAAGTTTCTGTAGCTGACGGTTTGAAAGGGCGAAATTTGAAGCCGCCATATTTTAATGATACTCCATTAGTGCCGGGCAAACGGAGATGTGATATATTAATTCGTGAAACTTTGTCTTTTAAGCTTTTTCCACAATTGCACATTTGGTGTGCCGATTGATAAACAGCGGTGGCGGTGTGCGCGCATATTCCGTTTTACTGGGAGATGTCTTATAATTAAACCGCCCCACGTCAAGCCATCATCCGTCACAAAATGAAGATATCAGTAACCCGCATCCCGGCGCGATTGCTGATAAATAAGGTGTGATTGAACGTTTCCTGTTTGAAAAAGCGCTGTTATTAACCCTGGGCTTGTTTCCGGTCACTAATGCTGCTCCGATACATTGTAACAAACGCCGCCGCGTTATATTGTAACGCCCGCGATTTGATCGCGCCGCCGCTCCGACCCCCGGTTGCCTTTGGCTCAGCATCGGCGCTTCTGGGCGCCAGCCCCGGGTCCTGTGTCTCATCCGGGAGGTCGCCAGGTAGCGGCGCATTAATGCCCGTATGCAATGTAAACAGCGCCCTTTAAGGCTGAATCCCCTCTGTTTGGGGCGGCGGCGGGGGCTTTTTCAGGGCTCTTTCCGTTGGAGGGTCCTAGCAGCACCACGCCCCTTGATAAAAGCACGGCTGTGAAGTTCTGCACATGGAGGTGAAGCTGGGCGAGTCCTGATCGCTGGCCTACAAAGTCAGTAATTTGGGGGATTTCTGCGATCACCCACGTTAATGGACAGACAGACGGACTTGTGTCCACCCAAACCTTCATAGGTGAAACGCACGTAAACCGTTTAATTATTTCAGGTCTGAATAGAAATTACTTCGTCCGCATCGCTACTCGTCTAGGGCTGAAATCCCAATTCTGGGTCTCGAGTGTGCCTTTTGATGTGAGGAGACTGTCGCGTGGCTCTGGAAAAGAGGGCCAGGTCCATTAGCCTAATCTAGAAACCTAAATCTGATTAGATTTGGGCATCTATAAATCTGAAGAGCAGGAAGATACACAAGAAACCAAGGAATTAGATGGGATTGAGCTGTGATGTATGAAAGAGGAAATGGATGTTTAAATTTACTCCGCTTTTGGCAGGTTTGTGGGGTCTCTGGTGCGCGGTTATTGCAGTGTTAAGTACAAGGCAGCCTCCAAAGTAGATTATGCAGGAAAGGTCATTATTTCTGGCTCACTATAACTTGCTATTGGTGTTCTTAAATAATCATGGTGATTAGTTAATTACAAACTTGCATTCATCAGCTTTTGCTGATTCTGTAGTTAATTCTTCATGTGACATTAAACATGTTTTTCATGAAGGTTAAATGTTTTTTCCATAACATTAGAGTACCACTTTACATAATAATTCAGTAAGCCCGTTTGCCTGGTAATGGCTTACAAGGAGCTGCTTATATTTGTCGTTTGGCTGAACCAGCTAATTTACTCGTGTCGTCTTCAGTCTGAGTTTGCGTTTGATGCCTTTGAGTATCAGCATGGCAGCTGTGCGGCACCAGTATCGCGGCGTTTCCCAGCATGCATTTCGGTGTATATTTACTACCTAGTGGAGCGGCACACTCTTTAGGCCTGTGTGATTCGCTGTTTTTTCAAGTTAGTAAGTGAGCTTTGTGTCTTTGATCTTAATTACCCCCCCTCCCCCGATCCTTTACCTTTTTATTGTGGTTTCTATCTCCTTCGGCACAATGTTGCGTCAAGTAGTTCAGGAATGCACAGGTTTTTAACTATTAAAAAATGTCACCTATAAATAGCGTAGCACCGGGCGGTGTGACCCGAGACTCCGGGCCGAGGTCGCGCTCAGGTTTCCAGAGGCTTCCGCCCGGTGTTAGTCTGGGACGGTAAGCGATGGAGCGCAGACTGGGAACCATGGTCTGTGGCCGACGTCTTTATGGCACTATGAGAGTAGCGAGGCCAGTAACACCTGGTTGCTGGGGAGTTAATTGTGGCTGCTGGGTTAATTTATTGACCCTGTGTCTGCTGGGAGTGGGGGTGTCAGGAGGAAGTAATGAGCGGCACAGCTCAGCAGTGAGGCCCCTGTAATTACAGGATGTGCTGTGTAAACATGTCGGGCCGGGACACTGCGGCACACGTTTGCCCCCCCAGGTCGTCTGCGGTGATGGGAGCCTGCCACTGCCGGGGGTGTGGCCCCCCATGGACGGGTGTGCCGCTCCCGGTGAGACGGCGGTCTGGAACGGACCCCTGCCACTGGATAATGAATCTGCGAAGGCTGGAGTCTCATCACCTGACTCTTGCATGACCCGAGGCTGGAGCTCCCGTACGTCTGAGCCGGCTAACGGCTACAGGCCTCTCCGCTGGCCTTGCTGCATGCTCCGCGTGGATTGTTACTTGATCTCGGGACTCGCAGCACAAAAACGTTCTTTTGGGGAGCTTATTGTTTATAATCGCCGGTCTGCTGCGAATCTCCAACTCTGTGTTCCGCGACAGAGGCCTGGTATTCTGCGTGCTTTTGTTTGCAGCGACACATTCATCCCATTGTTGTGCAACTCCACAGACGGAACAAAAAAATAGAGAGATGGGTCGCTTTCTTTCTTTATACATGGGTGAAGAGGAAGTGCATCCTGGTGCTGAAGCCGTTGGTGTATTCGCACTATATCCGGAAGGTTCCCTGGCCATACCTCGGTGTGGTGCATTATGGGTAATTCCGGCTGCTGTCAGCACCGCTTGCTGCCCCCAGTACCGTGTGTGAAATCTCTCCGGAAGGCGTGGAGTGTTTGCTCAGGTGAAGGTCAGGGTCTTTGGTGTATGAAGCTTGGGAGGGAGGCTGCTTGGTGTGTTTATTTGTGTCCCCCAGTGATGGTGTTGGTCAAGAAGAGCAGCTGCACTGATGAGCCTGTGTGTAACAAAAGGGTTCATGGCTGCAGATGCCGGTAACATGACTTTTAAAAATGGAGGGACAATGAAACCCCAATCGCGCTGTGCATCAGTGAGTCTCGCTTGGTGATCCTTTTCATATTTATTATGGCCAATAACTGGCCACTTGCGTGGATCGACCGGCGGTTCGATCTCGCCAAAATGCAACCACCGTTTAAGGTATGATTTGTAGGACTGATTTCATGTCAGCAAAATCTGTTTGCTCTCGCTGGATACCCACAGTGTAAGAAAGCCCATAATAAGCCGCATTGCACTCGGAGCTGCTGAGGACTGGTGCTTGTGGGTACGGGCGCCATGGCGACAGCGTGAGGTCTAACAGACACGGCGATGAAGGAGCAGCGATTATGGCGGGAGACGCCATGACGGCAAAAGGATCCACAGTCGTCCACATGCTTATTTAAACATGCAGAAGCAGTATTACATACGTGTATCCATACATGCGTGTATCCATACATACGTGTATCCATACATACGTGTATCCATACATACGTGTATCCATACATACGTGTATCCATTTGCAGTTCGTTTATTAGTTTGTAAGTGATGCTGACGAGCACAAGGCTACAGACGTGCATTTTAATTACTTGCTTATATGGGTTAAAATTTTTTGATTTTTCATATTTAAGTAGCTTAAGTGATGATTTCATAGACCAGGAAGGTGTGTGTTTGTATTTACCACATTGTGGGGACCAAAAACCTGTTACTTATTAGCTTGTGCAGACATTTTTCAGCTGTCTGCAACATTAACCTTTTTTTTAATAAATAAAATTATCTATGAATGCAATCAAAAAATGTGTTTTGTGTGTGCGTGCATATTTGCGTGTTCAGTGTGTCTAGATACCGTTTGTGTGTTCTGTATAGCGTGTCTGTGTGTGTGTATATTGTGTGTATAGTGTGTGCGTGTGTATAGTGTGTGCGTGTGTATAGTGTGTGCGTGTGTGTGTGCGCATCTGTGCATTGTGTGTCTGTATAGTGTGTGTGTGTGTGCATCTGTATATTGTGTCTGCGTATAGTGTGTGCATCTGTATAGTGTGTGTGTGTGTGCATCTGTATATTGTGTCTGCGTATAGCGTGTGTGCATATGTGCATTGTGTGTCTGCGTATAGTGTGTGTGTATAGCGTGTGTGTGTCTGCGTATAGCGTGTGTGCATAGCGTGTGTGTGTGTCTGCGTATAGCGTGTGTGCATAGTGTGTGTGTGTGTCTGCGTATAGCGTGTGTGTGTGTCTGCGTATAGCATGTGGTCCCCTTGTTGAAGAGGATCTGAGCATGAGAACGTTTGGATAGCTCAGCCTGGGGCTGTGAAACCGCAGATGCTAAAGGCTAACAGGTGGTATGCAGCCCAGGCCGGGCTCTCAAAGAGCTTGTGGCCGCTGAATTATCCTGCCATCTGGGGGGGTGGGGGGTGGTGTAGGAC